CAACAACAGGGCTGGGCTGCTTGTTCCACACCCCCACCCCCCTCTGTGTACAGAAGAGCCTACTGTCCTGACTGGAGGAGCTCACCCAGCTGTGTCTGGAGAGAAGCCAGGGTATCGGCTTCAACAACAGGGCTGGGCAGCTTGTTCCCCACCCCCACCCCCCTCTGCGTACAGAAGAGAAAAGCCAGGCTACCTGTGTATCAGAAAATGAAGGCACATTGAGGTTCATTCTCTAGCAATCTCATATACAGTACACTCATCTGTCTGTTGTGTTTAGAGGAGTCAACCCAGCTTCAGGGTCCTGTGTAATGCTGCTGTGCGCTGCCTGTCTTCCAGTTCCCCCCTCGGTCAAGGTGAGCGCCACCAAGCTGCTCAGCTCCAAGCACCCCACCATGCTGGTGTGCCATGTGACTGGCTTCTACCCCCAGCGCATCACGGTCACCTGGCTGAGGGACGGGCTGGAGATCAAGACCGACGTCACCTCCACCGACCTGCTGGCCAACGGGGACTGGACCTACCAGGTGCACTCTCACCTGGAGCTGACCCCCCGTGCCGGGGAGACCGTCGCCTGCAGAGTGGAGCACAGCAGCCTGGAGCGCCCCCTGGAGGTCACCTGGGGTGAGGCATCTACTGTCCTACTGCTCAAGCTTTTAAAGATGTATGAATTCCCCAAAGAGTGTATTGTTTCTTGTAACCTTGACTCTCAGTTGTGTGCTAAAACATAACATAAATACGCACAGATTGTAATAATTTTTTCAAAACATTTAAAAAAAATGTTTTAGTGTCTGAATCCCATAGGATGATTTCACTGGCACTACCATCATAATCCCAGATGATTATTTATCTGGCAAAAGAAGAATGCTGACAGATGTTTCTGTTGGGCCTGTATTATGACAAGTACATTATTTGCACGTACTGTATGATGGGTTACAATTGAGAGGAAACCTTTTCAGCCCATACAGCTTATTTGGTTGGTTACTAGACACAGTTCCAGCTGTGTCTGGAGAGAAGCCAGGGTATCGGCTTCAACCACAGAGCTGGGCAGCTTGTTCCACACCCCCACCCCCCTCTGTGTACAGTAGAGCCTCCTGTCCTGACTGGAGGAGCTCACCCAGCTGTGTCTGGAGAGAAGCCAGGGTATCGGCTTCAACAGCAGGGCTGGGCAGCTTGTTCCACACTCCCCATAGTCCAACATGAGAAGACTGTACTCCAACTAAAATATTTCTTCTCCCCCAGACCCCTCGATGCCGGAGTCTAAGAAGAACAAGATTGTCATTGGGGTGTCTGGACTGATCCTGGGGCTCATCATCACCGCTGCTGGGGTGATTTACTACAAGAAGAAATCTAGCGGTAAGAGGCTGGGGTCACAAACACGTTTCCTCAGCTGGTCCTGTAACAGTAAGACCAAGGACTGTACGAGCATGAAAATCTTTCCTATGTTATTTAACATTCTGTAAGAAAGAACATGTACAGGTGAACTCTACACTGAAAAGCCTAAATCACATTTACTGCAGGTTTCTGTAGGACAGAGAGGAGACAGCAGGCCAGAAGGAGACGTGTGAGAGATTTGAATGGGGTTTATTTTGAATTAAGGGTGAATTAAGGAAAAAAGTGTCAAGTTTACTGTAAAATTGAAGCACCTACATGAATTGCATTTATCATCGGCACTGGAAGCTTTCTTCCTTACATGCTGATGCTTACAGGTGTTGGTCACTTTGATCTTTTGGAAGAATACATTTCGTCTCCTCTTATTTCTCTGTTTCAGGCCGCATCCTGGTGCCGTCAGACTGAGGTGAGAGCTTTTTCAGTCCAGTCAGATTCTCTGGGCTCCAAACCTCAGACTGTAATCAGAGCCCGAGCCCAAGTCAACTCCTCCTCTTCGTCACTTTGACCTCCTGGTTTAGAGACTGAGACCCATCTCACTTTTTACACAGTGATGCAGGTCACAGGTTTATCACGGCATCAGTTAATCAGCTCAAGGAAGAAATCCAGGACCCTTCTTTGATATTTGACAACAGGAAGTGTCCTCCCTGTACAGAGAGGTGTGCTAGTATTCAGGTTCAGAACGGTACTGTCGTTTCAAACGTTGTGCTCATCGCTGGTGTTTGTACTTCCAGAGCGCTGCGGACTGGACTAGAGAGACTTCGTTTCTCTCCACAAGAACAGGAGCAGGACGCTCATGCACCGACAGCTTACAGAAATCACTTCAAGACTGATTCATTTCTCACTGTTTAAT